CTGCTCAGATGGTCGTGGAGAGCCTCTGCGGGCAGCCTCTGCATTCTACACTCAGCTGGGAGAGGTGGACACAGGGACAGTGGTGACAAAGTCCCTTACTCGGGAGTGTTGGGAGTCCTTTGTGTCTGCTGGGATCACGTGGGAGGAGAACCCTGGGCCACTGGCAGGAGTGAGTCTGTTTGGCTGGGATGCCATGGTCATGGTGGCAGAGGGCCGGGAAGGACCCGTTCTGGCCAGGTGGCTGGCTCGGCTCCCTTCACAGAGATGGGTAACAGAAGCACAAGAGGTTGGCTTCGAGGGAGACCCAGGGAGGCAGTGGCTCTGCTTTCTCTTGTCGCTCAGGGACTCGGGGTCCTCTCTCTGGTCTGTATCATAGTGTGACACTCCTGTGGCCAGAGTAAGGACACCGAGTGATAAGAGTGGAAATGCCCCTTTGAGGGCGTAACTCAGAAGTGGCCATGTCGCTTGTACTCACATTGCCTATGTAGTGCTTGGGCCTGGTTCACCCCCAGCTGCAGGAGTGGGAGGGTGTCAAGGTGGCTCTGACTTGCCCACATGAGGAAAGGGAGATTAGATTTGGGGGAGCACATCAAGAGAGTTCTTCCATGCCGCCTGCAGGAGTGTCTTAGGCTCTTTTCTGTTGCTGTGACAGCCTTTTCAGAACAAGAGTTGATGTGGCTGGTGGTCCTAGAAGCTGGGAGGCTCAAGGACATGGCTCTCATATCTGATGAGGGCCTCAGGTTGCATGACAGCCTAGCAGGGGCGTCATGTGGTAGTGGTCCAGCAGGTGTACTAGCCACCTGTAAAGCCACCTGTGCCATCATGGGGCCCCACCATCAGGGCTTCCCATAAGTCCCACCCTTCTGACCTTGGAGCACACACAGTCAAATTGGAGCAAGGGATTTTGATGGTATCCTCGTGGTAATATAGCATGTGATTAAGTGCTGTGTGTCACTCAGCAAGATGGCACATGCTAAGTTTGAAGTCCTTCAAGGGTTCGGCAGCCTCAACGATTCTAGTCTCTGGCGGGCACCGAGCACCCATTTGGGTGAGATTCAAAGGCTTGACAAATGCCTGTGTGTGCAGGATTTGAGGGTGGGTTCTGGTAGCAATGGGAAGGTAGCAGATGGTTTCTGCGGTAGACAGCCTGCTCTGACCTAAAACCCTCAGTTCAGCTCCTGCAGAGGCCACAAGGTGCAGGGATGGGATTGGTGACCTCTGTGCCTGCTCCCTGCAGAGGGGCCTAGCACATGTGGAGGACAGGAAGTGCAATGGAGCTGCACGGAGGAGGAGGTCCTGGGACATGCCAAGATGTCGGTTCAGAATGGAGATCCTGACTGCCAAGGGCGAGTATCCTTGCTCCCTGTGAGCCCCCGGCCCGGCCAGGTGAAAGCCTGTCATTGCTGCTGGCCTCCAGCATCTGTGTCCCCACAGAGCTTGTCAGAAATGTGGTTCCCAGGCCTCCACTTCAGCAAGACCCCAAAGCATTGGGGGCTGTATTGTCTGTGGTGCTGCATTCTGTGCAAGGAGTTTGATTTGTGTTCCCTGGCTACACACTGATGCTCACACTGCACGCTTGACCCACACACTGCATTCCCATGCCCACACAATGCGGCAGCTCGGGCCCACACGGCCCATCTGGACCAGCTCAACATTTAGCATCCCTGTAGGATGGGCAGGTGCTGTGTGAGCCAGTGCCTTGGAGTTCAAGGCACTCACAGAGTCCCACCAGGGAGAGGTTGTGTATGCAAGTTGGTTTTGGAAGAAAAATCCAGCGGTGGTGAAAAGCACATCATGGTCTCTGGCAGTGGGGAGGGGAATGGGATGGCCCGTGGTTAACATCCGGTTCGTGTCCACTGTGCTCTGGTTTCTAGTGTGATCCTTCTGTAATGTGTATCTGTTGTTTTTACTACCGAGGTTTAAATTATAAACCTGACAAGGCCAGCATGGCTTAGGGCAGCAAGGAGCAGGAGGGGTCTCTGGGTCTCAGGGTTTTCTCCAGCCCCGTCCCCCTGCTGTAGGGTGGCAGTGGGCCCTGGCTGGCTAGAACCAGGCACCTGATGAGTGTCCATCAGAAACCTGCAGGGTGTGGGCCACTAGGGGTCAGGGGTGGATAGCTGAGCAGTTGGTGGTACTTTATTTTTTTCCTTCTATTTTATTTTCACTTTCATGATACAAGTAGGCTTTGGGATTTCCCCTTCCCCATGTTCCCTCCCCCAACTTATTTCCCCATGTTATCACAATAGTATAGTATTTCATAAGCAGTCATAAGCCCATCATTCTGTTATAGTGTGTCCTGACAGTTCCAGGTAGTCCAGCATCCTATTGTCAAGATATATACGACAGTTTCAATGGAAGTCCATCTCTGATTTGGAAGTAGTGATGCATACTGCATTGTGTCTTCACAACTGGACATGACAGTCTCTATTACGCAGTCCTATACGTCCCCTTGAATGAGAAGCCATGAAACAAAATCAACAACAGGAACAAAGATAAAAGATTTACAGCACCATGGAGTTAAGTAATATGCCACTGAATAACCAGTGTGTTGATGAAGAAATGAAAAACACAAAAGCTTCTTGGAGAAAATGATGCTACTGTATGATCCATGAGTCAGTGAATAATTCAATAAGAGAAAAACTATTTTTGAAGAAATGAAAATAAACACAATATCAAAACCCATGGGTTGCAGCAAAAACAGTATTGAAAGGGTTATTGATCTTATAATTTGCATTAAGGTTGTCTTATATCAGAGAGGTACTTTCTAAAGACAGGATCTTGAGGGTAGCTGCTGATTTAGGAAATAGTTTAAGCTCTTACTCAGATGTCCTGCCTTGTGAAGTCATTGCCACAGGCAGATGTGGGCCGTGAGCGGAAGTGGCGTTATTTTGCAGTCCACACTGGTCCTTCCTGTAGCATCCTAGAAGAGAGGGATGGCCAACTATCCACCCCGTCCTATCATGGATCTTGAGGGTTCCCAGAACCGTACTTGGCGGGCAGGTGGTACTGCCCCATCCTCCTCTACCAGTGACCAGCCTCACTTGTGGCCCTGGGCACACTGGGGCCTTGGGCCTGCAGCAGCAATCCAGGGCAGCCTCAGGGATCTGGGTTGGTTCTGTCTGGTGTGTCTGCAAAGACGTTGCTAGAATGGGTTCAGGATCAGCTCCTGTCCAGGGTGGTTTGTGAAATACAGAGGAATAAGGAAAGAAATTTTGGCCGCACACCTGAATTCATACATTCCAGTTCCTGGAACTGTGGGGAGAAGAGGTTAGCAAAAAAAAAAAAAAAAACAAAAAACAAACAAACCCCTTTTGTTTAATTATTGTTAACTTTTGATTTTTTAATGTTTTTGAAATAGTTGAGAGGAATGCATATTCATGTGGGTTCTGATTAGCTTGGGGCGGGTCAAGGTATGGAGGAAAGTGGGTAGAATAATGCTTCAGTTCTTTTTTTTTTTTTTTTCTTCCTTTCTCCTGTGTCCTGTGTCCATCAGGAAGACTCCTTGCTGTCAGATTTTATTAGTACCTGGGCATGAAAAAGTAATTTGATATCACCTTAGAGATCCCAATGTGGGGAAGAATGTTCTAAGGGTCCTGCTTGGGTGGTCTTGAAAATTTTGAGAAACTGCCTTGATAATTGCTTTACTGCACCAGGGTTGAGAAAATCTTTATAGGGTCTATTGGTTGACCAGGTCTACTGCAGTAGACTTTTGCTAGCCTTTTGCTGCAAAGCCTGGTCAGGAGGATTGTTTAACCTGTTCTGTTTTCCATCTTAATGATGAGGCACTCCATATCCTCTGTTGGCTTAGATGAGCTGGCTGTCATGTCTTTCATATATGTAATAGAGAACTGGGTATGTTCTCTATTACACTAGTGCCAGCATATGATGAGGCCCAGTCTCAACACTTACACTCCAAGCTTGAACCGCATATCTTGTGATTTTCCCTGAGGTCAGAGTTTGAGTACAGTGACCTAGCTGGGGAGTGCCCCAACTCCCTTGGAAAGTCCTCAGATTTAACTCTTGTGTAACAGCTATTGCACTAGCCAACGCACATACCAGTGGATGCAGCTGCCTGGCTGGTTTCACTCCCAGCTCCATCTCCCACACAAACTGGCAGATCCTGTGACCTAGCCCAGCCCATTCCCAGATCTAACCCACATGCTTGCCAGCGGATGCTGCAGCTTTTTCCAACCTGGCTCACCCCTGCCCTGACTCTTGTGTTTACCAATAGGAGTTGCAGCCTATCTCCAAAGTGCCTGTTCTCAGACCCGGGTCTTGCACTTGCCAGACAGTACTATGGTCCAGCTTGACATGACCCACCCCTAGTCCCAGCACTTGCCAACAGGTGCTATGGCCTAGCCCAGCTCAGTCCACCCCCAGACCCAGAACTCATGCTAACCAGTGGGAGCAGTGGCCTAGCAGAGGAGTCCCCAAAGTTCCCCTACCAGGGGCATGGTCCACCCTGAGTCTCCACACTTGCCAGCAGTTGCTGCAGCATAACCCAGCCTGGCTTACGCCGAGATCCAGTTCTCATGTAAACTTCCAACCTGGCCTATACCCCATTCTGGCTCTCGTGCATACCAGCGAGTGCTGGGGACTGGTACAGTCCAGCCTGTCCCCAGAACCCAGCCCACATGTATGCCGATGGATGCTGCAGCCTTGCCTGCCCTGGCCTTCCTCCAGCCCTGGCTCTTGTGTTCAACAGCAGGATAACACAGTGTCTTATTTTGAGCAGTTTCTACAGGTGTGGTTTCACACTCTTCCAAAACCACCGTTCTTTTCCTCCAGAGGAGAGTTGTTCACAGCTAGGGCAAAAAAACTGGAAACAGTGAGCTTGTCTTGTGAAAAGACTACTGCAACAGGAGCTGTGGGTGTGGCAGTGAGCACGGGGTGCGGGGGGGCAGTAAGCACCTTGAAGCCCAGCCCCTGCCAGCTGCTGGAAGAGTCTGCCTGTCCGGGGCGGTCATAGTGGCAAGCTGAACTCTATACTTTGCTTGCAGATCATCAGGAAGGCACTAACGGAGGAAAAGCGTGTGTCCACAAAGACCTCAGCTGCTGATCTGGTGACAGAAACAGACCACCTAGTGGAAGACCTAATCATTTCAGAGTTGCGAAAGCGCTTTCCATCGCACAGGTAGGTCTACTCCTCAGGTAGTACAAGCCGGTGAAAGCCACCATGCTTTGGAAGAGGACAAGGCCTTCCTCAGAGGCCTGGCCACTTGTTGGCCCAGGGCAGACCCTGGGAAGCAGACAGACCCTGGTTCCATAAGCAGGTGTATAAGCAGGGAGCTGGCTAGGAAGTGGAGTAGGTGGGATTTGAATGAATGCCCATGTGGAATGCTGGCGCCCTAGGCAGAGGCTTAACTTGCTCACTACAGTGCCAGCCCCTACAGAATCTCTTAAAAATGTTGGGGTCCCAAAGCTCTGTACTCACTCTTGGAGTCATGGGTACAGATTATGGAAGCTGACAAGTCCATATGTATGTGGGCTAGTGTGGCAGACATATGTAAGGCGCCCACCCCTCACCCATTGGGTGCTCACGAGACTCAGCTCACAGTGCTTCTGAGTGTTTATGGGAATAAGGAACAAGCAGGTGTGGGAGCACTCACCTCCCCATCCCCTCATAAAGTGAGATTTATAGAGAGACAGAGAGAAAGATCGTCCATCCGTTGGCTCACTCCCCGAGTGGCCACAGTGGCTAGAACTGAGCCAGTCTTAAGCCGGGAGCCAGGAGCCTCCTCTGAGTCTCCCATGTGGGTGCAGGGTCTTAGGGCTTTGGACTGACCTCTACTGCTTTCCCAGGCCACAAGCAGGGAGCTGGATGGGAAGTGAAGCAGCCAGGATACGAACCAGTGCCCATATGGGATCCCAGCACATGCAAGGCGAGGACTTCAGCCACTAGGCTACTGTGTTGGGCCCATGTTCTCCATTCTTGCATGAGGGTCAACAACTGAGGTAGCCCAAGTCTGTGCTCCAAATTCAGGCCACATGTCTATGTGTTTTTCCTTGAAGTTGGGGATCCAGTGCAGTGGTCTAGTAGGGGAGCCCCTAAGAAACCTCACCTGGGGGAGGGGGTCCTCAGACCTTTACCTTGTGTGTGCCAGTTGGTGCAGGGTCAGGCTTAGTCTGCCCTAAGCACCAGCCAATGCACATAGTGAGTGCAGCTGCCTGCTCAGTTCCACCCCTACACCTGGCTCTCATACACATCAGTGGGTGCTGCAGCCCAGCCCAGCTTAGCCCACCCACAGACCCAGCTCCTGAACCTTCAGGTGACCCCAAATACGTACTATCTGACCTACTCCCACCCCGTTTTTGTGTATGCCAGCAGGTCTTGTTGGGGTGACCCCTATAAACCCCTACTATGCACACTCTAAGCTCCAGTTCTCACATGTGGCAGCAGGTGCTGTAGCCTAGTCCAGCCTGGCCCATCTCCAGCCTTGACATTTGCCATTGGTTGTGCAGCCTAGGCAGGTCTCTTTAGCTTTTTTTTTTTTTTAAAGATTTATTTATTTATTGGAAAGTCAGATATACAGAGAAGAGGAGAGACAGAGAGGAAGATCTTCCGTCCGATGATTCACTCCCCAAGTGAGCGCAATGGCCGATGCTATGCCGATCCGAAGCCAGGAGCCAGGAACTTCTTCCAGGTCTCCCACACGGGTGCAGGGTCCCAAGGCTTTGGGCCGTCCTCGACTACTTTCCCAGGCCACAAGCAGGGAGCTGGATGGGAAGTGGAGCAGCCAGGATTAGAACCGGTGCCCATATGGGATCCCGGGCGCGTTCAAGGCGAGGACTTTAGCCACTAGGCCACAGCGCTGGGCCCCTCTTTAGCTTTTTAAAACTTTAGGTTTAGGGCATGGCTAATGGAGTGCCACGCTGGCTTCCACAGCAGCTGGTAGACCTGGATATTCATGCGTGTGCTTGGGGCCCAGGCAGGCAGCAGGTTAGGTTCCCAGGCTAGCATGCCACCCTTCTGGAAGACCAGGCTAGAGAATACTGGGCTGGGGAACCCATGCACTTATGGGCACAAGATGGGAGACCTGAGCTAGTTAGCATCAAACACGACCCACCAGCCCACACAAAAGCTGGGCCTGCCAGGGCTGGACTGCAGTACCCACCAATGAGTGTAAGAGCAGGGGGTGGGTCACGTTAGGCTGGGCCACGACACTAACTAGCACATGAGAGTGCCGGAGTCCAGCTCCAGCTGAGCGCAGAACTCAAGAAGGGTGCGTGGAATAGGCGTAGAGAAAATAGACGGACCACCACGATCCCAGGATCATAATGGACAATGCGAGAAGGCTCTCCTCTTTATTTATACAGAAGCCTTCATAGAGGCTGGCGCAGACTTCACACCTGGTCAAGAAGAGTTTACCAACTGTTTCACCTTGAGGCAGGATATCAGCCGTTCTTAACCCTGAGACCAGAAAGTTGCTACTACAATCCTCATTCTACAACTGAGTCTTGAATCAGTTAAGGGAGGAAATGCATCACAGAAGGAAGGACCTAAAGATCAAGGAAAGAGGGAGAGAATAGATTCCCACTACACCTGGGGACGGAACACCCTTGATTAGCATATGGTCAATGGGGCAGCCAAGACAGCAATAATAAAAGGCCCTTGTGCTAAAACGGTATCAGCAACATCAACTTCCAAGCTCACATTGGTAGTAAACACCAACTCCGTAGAGGCAGACAATGCTTAAATAGATTATAGAATTCTCATCGGGGTTGTCCGGTGTCCATGCAAAGGGAGGTACCTGCAGCTGCATTCAGGTGGTTGTAGAGATATCCGCCAGGCCCTGCCTTGCAACAGGAAATTCCTTGCGGCCCTGCCTGCAGTGGAACAATACTCTTCACCCCTTCCTGTCTTCCACACCTACCACACAGACCCCAGCATGAGAGAACTGGGTCTGGGGGCAGATTCTGTGGGGGATATGTGGGCTCACCTCTGTAGGACTGCAATATCCGCTGGCTTGCTCAAGAGCTGGGAGTAGTGATGAGCTAAGCGAGGCATGACCAGGATCTCACTGATACTCACAGGAACTAGGATTGAGAACAAGCCAGGCTGGTCCAGGCTGCAGCACCCACAGATGCACCAGGAATTGGGTGTGGGACAGGCTGACTGCAGCATCCACCACCACACACAAAGGCCAAGACTGGGGGGCAGACTGAGCTGGGTAGGGGTCTAGGATCCACCTGCATGCCGGCAAGAGATCCAAGTCTGGGAGTGGGCCTGGTGGGAGAACTTGGGGGATTATCATGGTGGGCTGTAGCATCCTTACTGAAATGTGAGTCAGGGTGTTGGTCAGGCTGGGCAACACTGCTCCACTGGTCAGCAGGTGTGTGGGTTGGTTCTAAGGGGGGGTGGACCCGGCAGGGCCAGGCCAAACCGTAGCACACTGGATGCACAGGAGCCAGGCTGGGATACAGGCCATTCTGGGCTAGGCTATCACACCTACCAGTTTGCATGAAAGCCAGGGATGGGGACAGGCTGGTCAGAGGTAGACTATAGCACCTACCAGTGGGAGTTGGGACTAGGGGCAGGCTAGGCTGAGCCAGGCTGCAGCATTCAATGGCAAGGGCCAAGACCATGGTTAGGCCATGCCAGGCTGTGTTGGAGCAACCACTGGCAGGTGCAAGGTCTGTGGCTTTGAACAGACCTGGAAGGGAGCTAAGGGGACACCTCTTAGTTCCACTGGTGAGCACAGGACCCAGGAATGGGAGTGGATTGGGCCAAACATGGCTGCAGCATTCCTCAGCATGTATGTGGGCTAGGTCTTGGAGTGGGCCAGGCAGGGCTGGGCTGTGGCATTCACCAGAGAGAGCCAAAATGGTTGTAGGCTGGTCTGACAAAGCTACAGTGCTTTGTCAGTGGTCAGTGTCAGGACTGGAGGTAGGCAAAATCAGATTGAGCCAAACATCCACCAGAGTGTATAAGATTTGCGACTGGAAACTGGTCTGATAGGGGAGCTTGGAGAACTCCCCTGTTAAGATGTAGTCCTGGCTCGTGAGTGCAAGAATCGAAGTAAGGGGCAGTCCAAGCTGGGCTGGGCTACAGTACCTGTTGGTATACATGTGGGTCAGGTCTGGGAGTGGGCCAGACTGGCAAATACGAGAGTCAGGATGGAGTGCAGGCCAGGCCAAGTTAGGATACAACACGTGACAGTTCACATTAGAGCTGGGACTGGGGGTTGGCGGGGCTGGGCTAGGGTGCAGCATCCACCAGCATGAGCTGGGACTTTGGGCAGACTAGGCAGAGCCAGGCTCCAGCACCTGCCAACGAATGCTAAGGTGAGGTTGGTCATGGCAGACTGGGGCTACAGCATCCACTGGCACATGCAAGACACCAGGCTGGGAGTGAGCCTGTTGAGGGTGCTGGTGGGTCCTCCTGCTGGGCCACTTCTAACAATGATGAGCATGGGGGCTGGGTCTGGAGGTGTTCTGGTCTGGATAGGACTGCAGCAACTGTCGGCCTGCATGCAAAGTGGGATTTGGGGATAGCCAGGCCAGACCATTGCATCTGCTGGTGCATACAAGAGCCAAGGTAAGGGTCGACTGGCTGGGCTTTGCCACAGTATCCGCTGGCAAATGCCACAACGGGGTGCAGGTTGTGTCAGACTGAACAGCAGTATGCCCTGGAAAGTGCATGATATAGGACTGGGAGTGGGTCTAGTAGGGAAACTAGGCACTTCTCTGCCAGGCTGTAGCTCCTGCTAGTAGCCATGAGAGCCAGGGCTGGGGGCAGACTAGGCTGGGCAAGGTGACAGTACCCATTGGCATACATGTGGACTGGTTTGTAGACTGAGTTAAGCTGCAACACCCATAGATGTATACAGGAGCCCGATTGGGATGTGATACAGACCGCACTAGTCTGCTGTACATGTTGGCATGTGCAGGAACTGGGTAGAGGCAGGCCTGGTGAGATTATTGGGGAGGGGGGTCACCCCAAGTAGACCACAGTTCCCACTTATGTGTGTAAAGACCAGGTTTGTGGCAACCTGGGTTAGGCTGGACCACAGTACCCATAGGTTTGCAAAGGACATGGGGCTGGGGACGGAGCTGACCAGCCAACCACAGTCTCCAGCGTGTGTAGGGTAATGCAGATGATGGGCTGAACTGGACCACATACTGGCTGGCACA